CACACACACACTCACACACACACACACACACACACACACACACGTACACAACACCAACAAAACAAAACAAAAAACCAACCTCCCAAAAAACAAAAAACCCAAACAAACCGACAACAAACAACTAACTAAACTAACTAACAATCAGACAAACAGACCCCACCCCACCAAAAAAAAAAATCCAAAATATTAAAAATTGCTCCCTGACTGTTTTGAATTTTTCAATTTAATTTTGTTTTTCATTTATTTATTATTTTTAGCTGGTCATCATCTCTACGTCAGGTGTCACTGTAGATTAATGTTTTCATGGAATGGCCCAGCCAATGACGCGCGAACGTTATCAGATGTGTGTGTGTGTGTGTACTTGTGATTGTGTGTGTAAACAGATAATGGCATCCGCAACATTTCCCCCTCGATTATTACCGGAATAGATGGGGCGGTTTTTAAGTTCTAGAGGCCGGGGAATGTACATGTGATAATTCTTTTTGAAAAAAAAATTGTTAATCGTGCTGATGAAGTGAAAAAACCCGTAGAATATTTCTGTCGTAGAAAGTGAGTCTCTAGAGTTATCTTTGTTGACAGACGGAATTATAGATTTACGTATTTTCAGCCTTCTGAAATACGTCAGTCTTTAAAAAAAAAATCTTAATTAAGGCATTGACAGAGAGTAAGCGTCCATCTCTTTTTTAAAAAATCTCTTGCCCATTTATTTGAGATTGACGCCATCTGGTTAGTAGAAAAAGGGCATATGATAATGTCCAATAGTGTATTACTGCATACTTAATATAACAAGTAACTGTTACAGATAGAGATTCAAGGGTAATAGATGTAAGTCACTGGTCTGAGAGCAATTATAATTTTAGAAATGATTGTGGTGATAGCTTCTTCTTCCTCGTTCTCGATGGCAGCAGCTAGACAGGCAGTCCGATGTCGCGCTCAAACTGTGCAGTTCGCTTCAAATCTGAGAGACTGCCATACAGCTTACCCTCAATGGGAGTCACATTCTGTGGTGATGAGCGATGATGTGGGATTGCGTTTAAGTATAACGGTTTAGTTCTATCTTCCTCTGCTCCAATGAGTCACGACGGACGTGGGCACCCTCTATCCCGATCCCTACTGGAATCATCTTTAATGTCACAGTGAAGTTCCAAAGGATCCATTTCTAATAGGCTAAGCTGGGTAGGGTAGGGGGTTGAGGGGGTAGGGGATTGGGGCTGCGGGTAGGGGTGAGGATAGTGGTCGGGATAGGAGTGGAAGTAGGGGTGAGGATAGTGGTTGGGGTAGGAGTGGATGTATGGATGAGGATAGTGGTTGGGGTAGGAGTGGATGTAGGGGTGAGGCTGAGACTTGAGGTTGAGGGAGAGGGGGGGGGGGGGGGGTGAGTGTATGGGTAAGGTTGGGGTGGGGAAGGGGTGGTTGGATGTAGTTGGGTGTGGGTGGAGGTGTGAATGAAGAAAAGGGGTATAGGTGGGGGATGAACCAGGGGATGGGGTTGGGGTTGGGGATGGGGTTGGGGCGGGGATAGGGATGTAGGGGGTGTTGGGGGAATGAGTAGGGGAAAGTGTGAGCAGTTTAAAAAAAAACTCTTTTTACCTGAAGTTGAGCCAGTTTTAGCGCCTGCTCGGCCGGATGGTGGAAAGCACTTCCGGTGAGCATGGAGGGAAGCTGTGGGTGTGGCAGAGGTCCGGCTGTCACGTGACCCTGACCCCCGGGGTAGTTGTACAGGCCGTGGTTGGGGAACATGTTCTTTGGAAGGGGGGGGGGATAAGTAGGATAGGTTAATGATTGTGGAAAGACGGAGAGAGTCAATGAGGGTGGGAGAGAGACAGGAGAGAGAGAGAGAGAGAGAGA